TATGAGAACTTTTCTGGTCAGGCTGGCTTCGAACCACGATCTTCAGATCTCAGTCTCTTGAGTAGCTAAAATTATAGACTTGAGCCACTGGCACCCAGCAAAAGAGCAGAATTTGTAAAATATAATTTATTATTATTATTAAGTTGTTGTACAGAGAGGTTACCATTTCACAATTCAGATACTGCATATATTTCTCTTTTGGACAATTTCAGCTCACCTTCACTGACTCCCAGTTCCCCCTCCTATCCCTGCCCCCAAGTTGCATAGTCCATGTTCCACATACTGTACACTGTAGTGTATACTTCCCTACCACCCAAGAAGCAGAAAAAGAACAAGAAATAAAAAGCACACAAACACCACCACCACCATCAACAACAACGACATAAATAACCTATGTTTCTGTTTTCTGGAATTTGTTAAGGTAAATAGTATCTTATATGTTCAGGAGAGTTACACCATTGGGTTCCTCCCCTACTGGTATCCTCCTTTTGTCTGTATGTGAATGCCTAGAGTCCTGTATAGGTTATTATCTCCAGTTATACTTTAGATCTAGCTTCCACATATGAGAGAATATATTCACTGTCTCTTTGAGCTTGGCTTACCTCACTTAAAGTTTGTTAAGGGGCAGAATTTTAACGTAAGTAGCATAAGGTACTGTAGATGAATGTTGTGGAAAGTGATGCTCTATGCCCCAGGACTGTTCTCTGAGATTGGTCACGCATGTCCTGTGCCATGGATGGAGACATAAAGGATCAGCATACTAAAGCTAGTTACCCAGATATAACAGCACTGAGACTTACACTGGTGTCCAGGTTCACACTCTGTGATCTTTCTCCTCAGCGAGGGTAATGTATAAACACTGGGTGTTTGAGATACACAATGAAAGAAAATTACTATGGTTATTTAACTACCTTTATCCTTGCAGACAAATAATACAAAGTTCAGCTACTTCCTTTTCCCAACATAATACTTACGCTAATAGTTAATTCCACTCTGTCATCACACTCAAAGCTCCAAGGAACACCCTAGTTTCTTAACTTCTGGGCCAGCTGCCAGAGATACAGAACAGCGCAAAAGAGCATCGGCAGTGGAGTCTCCCAGGGACAATCCCAAGCTCCAGTCCTGGTTCCATCTTTTTTATAGTGTGGGCAGCAGGCATGCAGCCACAGCTGTGCAGGGCAAGAGCCCAGTGAACATCAGCTTAGAGTCAACAGAGACTTTGCTTGACATAGTGACAAATACCTGTAGACCTAAGGTAGTCAGGAGGCTAAGGTAGAAGGGTGTCTTGGGCTCAGGAGTTTGAAGCCAGCCTGGGCGAAAGAGTGAGACCTTTGTCTCAAAAATACAGAAAAGAGGCTACTTTGTGACGTTTTAATGTTTCACTAAAATGAACCAAACTCGCTTGCTATCTGAGAAATTATTATTCTGCCACTTCTGTACTATATTGAAGAAATGGAAGTGGACTATGACATGTGAGGTGAATATCAGTGATCTCCACAGGATCTTTCATGGGGATTATCTCAAGCCAAACTTGTATCTTACCTTTTTCCTCTGTCCCTCCTCCTTGTCATCCATGGAACAATTTAAACTGCACTTTCCTTGTGTTATTAAAGCAAGCTATTCTCCTTTATTTACCTTGGTTGCATGTAATTTTTAAATTTTTTTTAGGCAGCTGATATGCCTGAATTACAAATTGGCATTGCCGTCTCCCCTTCTAGAATGTGATGGTTCATTGACATGTTCAGAAAGAAGCATTTGTTGGGGAATTCTTGTAGGACAGACCCCATGCTAACGGCAGGATGTAAATTATGAGGTGAAGACAGTTCCTTCCTCATAGAAATGAACAACTGACAAGAGCCTGAGGTGGGGGAAATAGGAGTGAATATGAGGGTGTGAATGTAAATTTCAGCACAGTTTAAAGAGTTTATATTCCTAGAAATAAAATGTGATATGAACACAGGAAATTACTTACTTTTTGAGTTACATTTTCAAGATAACTTGGCAGAGGGAACGGCACTTAAATGTTGTATGTTGAAATAAAATATTTTTAATTAACAATAAAGTCAAAGATTTTCTAGGTGGGAAAGCAACAGACAAGCCAAAGAAATGTGAAATTGGTGCTGTCTTAAGAGGTTAAGTAAAGGAAATCTGGCTTCAAAGTATATAGCATTGGATGAAAATGGAGGCCAAGGGATCATTGGTGAAAGCTACTTCAAGGGAGTGCACTTTATTCAAGACTTGCCTTCTTTGAATTACCTAGCCCAATAGTGGAAAGACAGAGACATTTTAAGATATATTTGAATGAATGAATGAAACACTGGATTAGCCCTAATACAACTCCCTGGAGTTCAGTCCACTGAGGAATGACCACTGTTTCATTGAGATTAAAGAGCAGGGTGCTTGGAAGACTGGGGGATTGAATAATCTGCCAGCCATCGATACCATTTAAACCAAAAGAGGCCTTTGTGGGTTTTTTCCCTATGGCGTGGCTGTTATGAACAATAACACAATTAACGATTGCATCCAGGGCTTTGTCTATGTGCTCCTGGGTAATTAATTAGTAGCATGGATGCTTGGATGGCGTTTTAAGGAATGAACTTTTTGCTTGTTGTGTTCTGGGGGGGATCTATGAGTGTGTTTTAAGCAATACAGTCTCATGGACAGATTTTGTTTTAGAAATATCTTTGGAATGATGTGGTACATGGGAATAGGTAGCAGGAAGGGAAACTGGTTAGATTGTTGCTCTAGTTTTTGGTGGGGGCGGGGGGTGAGGTGTGTGTGTGTGTGTGTGATTCTGTGTCTTTTATTGAAAATGACCTTCTCCCTCATACCATAGTAAAAAACCATCTTTTATGAACAACTGGAAACAAAAACAAGTCAACATTATTGGCTTTAAAAATTTTTATTTATTGTAAAGGTGATGTACAGAGGGATTACACTTACATAAATTAGATAAAGAGTATATTTCCTCTTGAACAGTGTCACCCTTCCTTTCCTCTTTCCCCATCCCCTTTCCATCCCCACCCCACAAGCTGTATAGTTTGTTTTCAACATAGTGTCTAGTGAGTATCACTGCCACATTTGTTCACCTTTTGTCACATCATGTCCATGCCCCCCTATGGTCACCCAAAGACAGAAAAATATACAAGAAAAAAGGGAAAGCAAACAAAAACAGCAACAAAGAAAAAAACTTACATAGTTTCTATTTCCTGGAGTTCATTTTAATAAATGTTATTTTGTATGATGAGATATACATAGCTATTTTGCTTATGTGACCCTCTCCTAAAAAGATCCTCTTTAGTCTTGCTCCAATAAATGCCTAGAGACCTGTATAAATTTATCATGTCCCAGTGTATTTTTTTCTCTTTTACCATCCAGTGTGTTTACATGTAGATTTATAAGCACATTCTAGTTACTGTAAATGAGAGAAACCATGCAACCTATGTTTTTGAAGGGTCTGGCTTACTTCATTTATATAATTTTTTCCAAGTCTTTCCATTTTTATGAATAGTACAATATTATTCTTTCTGATGAATGAGTAAAATTCTATTGTGTTTGTATATCACATTTTTCTTGATCCGTTTGTCCACTGAAGGGCATATGGTTAACAATACTTCAATGAACATGATTGTGCTAATAGCTTTAGACCCTCTAAGAAGCAATAACTCAAGAAAAAATGCTCAGAAGAAGTAAGAATGGCCAATAGAAACATGAAGAAATGTTCAATATCTCTGGCCATAAAAGAAATGCAAATCAAAACTACATTAAGATTCCACTTCACCCCAGTTAGAATGGCCATTATCAAGAAAACCAACAGTCACAAATGATGGAGGGGATGTAGCTAAAAGGGAACACTACAACACTGTTGGTAGGAATGTATCCTTATTCAATCACTGTAAAGCAGTATGGAAGTTCATCAAAAGACTAAAGATAGAGCTTCCCTATGACCCAGCAATTCCACTAAAACTCAACTTTATGTTTTATATAATCTAAATATCCATTACTAATGCTCCTCTCATGCCTTCCATTGTTTTTAATTTTTTTTTCAAATTTTCCACTTTATTTGTTCTTAATAATGTAACAGGGCCTGAAAATGAAAGTTAGGATTTGAAATATAGCCAGTCCATTTTCTTCTTTTCTTTGTACATTTTTTTGGAAAAGGCTAAAACATGTATAATGCCAGTGACTGAAAAATTAAAAAATAGACTCTTACTAAAACATTTTGAAAAGTCTAAACTCTACAAAATTAATAATATTTCCTAGTGTCTTATATACCCATTTTGAGAGACTAATAGCAACATTGCAATCAGTTGTGAATAAGAAGCACAGGATATCTGTGATCAGAACACTGAAGCACAGAGAGCTTGAGCAAGTGCCAGGGTCTTTACATAACCAAAATAAATACATCTTGTTTCTACAACTAGACCTTGTTCTTTGCCCCCAACAAGAAGGAAGAAATTGTGCCTGTGGTTTTGTTTTGTTTTGTTTTAAACATTGAGGAAAATGCCGAGTTTTTTTTTTATACATTTCAAAATAAAAATCATCATGATAGGATAAAACTTGAATTTCAAGCAATAGAAGCTATTGAATATAAAGAGGTTAAAATGGGGCAGAACAAATTCTTGATGTTAGATACTGTGAGATTTTAGTACTTTATCTATTTTTGTGCTCGTATAACATCATTCACATGCTATTATTTTACTCACATCTTCAAAAGCATGCTATTATTTTACTATTGACCTTTTTGGGGGGGTTCTAAGAATTCAATAATTTTTTATTTCTTGTAAATAAGCCTTATGTTAACTGGAATTTGATGACAGAAAAGACACATTGGGAAATGCTATGATGCCATCAATAAAATCCTCTCTGCCAGAGTTTCCTGAGGTCCCAGAGTCTGAAAAGCAAACTGAGCCTTTGAGATTAAAGTCAGTATGAAAGTAAAATATAAAATTCATTAGATAAAAACAAATTAAAATATAAGCCTCTTTTTTTTCTTTCAGCTAAAAAAAAGAAGCCTAAACTTTTAAATAAATTTGATAAGACTATTAAACCTGCACTAGATGCTGCAGAAAAACTACGTAAAAGGGTATGTTGATGTTTTTGTTTTGTATAGAAATGTCTGATGGTTTTTCCATTAAGTATATGCAGGTATTCTGGTTTGGTATGATGATGATGATGAATGTAAAAGAAACAGTTTTTGAAATGATCTGATACTTAATAGAACATTCCATGGTTAGCCTTAATTTCTCCCCTTTTCTATTTGGGAAGAAGCATTTAAAACAATTCTTATATCTTTTCTTACTTCTTCCTTTCTTATCCAAAGGAAAACAATTTTTTTGTTTCTTCAATTCCCTTTCAAAACTTTTCTTTACTGACTTGCCTATTCTTGTTAGTAGCTATTGGTATGAGTATGCCATGAATTTTTTTTTAAGATTGAGCTTATTTGTAAAGTCAGTGAAGTTGGTATGTAATTAAGTTGGTTGTGATTTAAAAACTCACGTAAAGATTTTTTTTTGTATGGTCAAGATTAATACTCTGATGTAAAATGAACATCCCATTATTTATGTCCATCTATCAAAGTAATTGTTTGTGTACCATGATGCCAAGTTTTTAATGACGTAAAACTAAGTAGTAACTCAAAAAAAAATATTGGATACCCAGCACATCAGCCCATAGCTTATAGCTAGAGGTACAACTTCCCTTCTAGACTACCTTATCACATTCCAGTTGTATGTATTTGGTCAAATCACTTGGCCATTTTGAGCTTTAGTTTCCTCATTTGAAAATGAGAATAATATTCTTCCTACCTTCTTTGTTTTTAGAAAAAATCAATATAAAGAAAAACACAAGCATCAGCACTGCCAAGTACCATATCAGTGGAAGCTTTTAATTTTATAGCACTTTAATGAGAAATAAAATGAAATAAGCCCAACACTCTTGGAATAGTTTTTATTAGATGAAATGGTAGTAGCTTTAACATTCTTCTCTCTTAGAGTTAACATGCACTCTCAATTTTCTGCATGACTTTTATTTTTTTACTTAATTTGAAGTATTATTTGTTCTGTTTTAGTTGTTAAGGTTTTGAAAATGGTCAATTGATATAATTAAAATCATTTTCCCCTAAATTTGTCCTATTTATGCAGCTGTTGTGTCCCAAAATATAGTTAGTATACCTTTAATCAATCACAGGTTTATCTTTCATAGAAATTTTTTTTGTTTGCTGTGCACTTAAATTTAGACTTTCATTAGCTTTTCTGCAATATGCTTTTTAATCAAGTAGACATTAACTGCAAAAAAGGGGGGAGAAGGAGAATAAAAGTAAATGACAATAATAAAAACATGTGGGTTTAGAACTAAAATGAGACAATAATGGTCTAACCACTTCTCTGTTGAAAATACCAATACACAAAAAGACCTCTATAATGAGCATCAGATAAGGTTCTAGTGTCAAGCCTGTTTACCAGTTTATCAAAATGTAGTAACTCAAAGAATGTTATAGCAAATTCATCATGTAATACTTCTATATTTAACTATACACGATGATTTCAAAGTCTATCTTGTTTAATTTTATTAAGACAACACTTTATGAATTTGAACTTTGTAATAGAAAAGAAGCAACAATCTCCTTCTCTCACTTTGTTTTGTATCTTCCATTTTGTGTGCACTAGATTTCGTGTGTGAAAAATGCAGGCTGCCGATTGCACAGGTGGCTTCTGGGATAAAACAAAAATAAACAGCTTTAGAAAAGGATTTTTATGTAGCAATAATGAATGGAAAAGAAGGTCTCAGTCATTAGGGGCACCTAAGAGAGTGGGACATAAAAGGCTGGGGCCATCTATGGAGTATGCTCCAATCCTGCTCACTTGGAGAAATTATGATGTTTTCCTCAAAGAGCACTGCAAACCTATGAGAGTAAATAAAGAAGGAAGAAGTAGCCACATATGCAATTCTTGCTTCTGAAACAACTGGGACTTGTATTATTGACTAAGCCATCAGGATAATTAAGTCATTTTAGGGTTGTTTTTACAGCTAGTATTTTCAAAGGATGAAGCTGGATACTGGAATAGACTGTGAAATCATGCCCCAGACAGAGCCAAACCAGCTTCATTCACATCTCAAGTTCAAATTCTATACTATACAAAAGTTTGGGGTCACTTTTTATCTATAGATTTATAAATCAGTTCATATTTTGATCATCTAATTTTTTAAAATAATATTTATTGTGTAGAGCTCTTCTGTTCACTCCAAATGATTTGACTTCTATACTGAAGTATTCCATTTACTTCATAGACTCAAAAGGAAAAAAAGGAGAGCAGGAAAAATGCAACAGAGCCAGAATGAGGTCATCACATGGAAGGTCACACTTGGGGATCTAAATTATGCTAATAATGAAGTCACCTGTACTTCCTGACAAGTAAAACAAGAGAAGCAGAAGCAGACTAGAAGATTGGGTAGTGTTATCAGAATAGCTGTCTGCACCAAGTCCAGAGAGAAACACTCTGCTGTAAGGTCTTGGTAACCTGCAAAGGGTACACTGATTGATGTACATCATCCTAACATCACAACAGTAAATTCTACCATATATCTGTGTGGCTCTGTTGTAAAATCATTTAGCAGTTGCCCATTGGCCTCATTCCAAAACAGTACAGCCCAGGCATACATCTTTCCAATGAACTGTCTTGGTCCAAGGACAAAATAAAAACTATATTGAGGAACAGGTAACTTTGTGGCAATTCATCAGGAGCAATACTTTTTTATGTATGTACAAATTGCTTAGTAATGCAATGGGGGAGATATGGTAGAATTTTTGCCTAGCAATGTAAGACCCAGAAGTTAAACACTAGTACCACCAGAAAAGCTAAATAAATAATAAATAATAATAAAAATAAGTGGGTAAGTAAATAAATGAATAAATAGCACATTGTTTTAGTAGCTACTAAGACCTTAAAGAAAGAAAATTCACCAGGCACCAGTGGCTCACACCTATAATCCTAGCTACTCAGGAGGCTGAGATGTGAGGACCACGGTTCAAAGTCAGCCTGGGCAGGAAAGTCCATGAGACTCTTATCTCCAATAAACCATCAGAAAACCAGAAGTGGCACTGTGGCTAAAGTGGTACAGTGCTTGCCTTGAGCTGAAGAGCTGAAGGACAACACCCAGGCCCAGAGTCCAAGCCCCACTACTGACAAAGAAAAAAAAAAAAAGAGAGGAAATTCATTCAGATTCCCATTGTCCTTGATCTGTTGTGTGTTACCCTACTGTCCCTCACTGTGAGCAATGCCTGTGATAATCAAAACTTAAAAGAAGTAAGATTCCCTTTGGGTCCTTATTCTGGACTGTTCAGTCCATGGTTCTTAGCTCCATTGCTGTGGAGCCTATGGTGAAGCAATGAGTTCATCTTAGAAGCGAGGGCATGGTGGAGAAGCTGCTTATCTCATGGCAGCCAGGAAGCACAGACACAGAGGAAGGGGCCAGCATTCCAATCTACCTTTCATGGGCACACCCCCCATGACATAACAGCCTTCCACTAGAATCCAACTTCTAAAGATGTCACGCCTATCAACAGTACTATCTTTTATACTACACCTTTAACACGAGTCTTTTTTTTTTGTTAGTCCTGGGGCCTGAACTCGGCCTGGGCACTGTCCCTCAGCTCTTCACCTCAGGGCTTGCACTCTACCATTTGAACCACAGCACTACTTCCAGCTTTTTCTGCTTATGTGCTGAACCTAGGGCCTCATGCATGCAAGGCAAGCACTCTACCACTAAGCCACCTTCCCAGCCCAATACATGAGTCTTTGGGAGACACTTGTGATCTAAGTTATAACACTGGGATCCAAGAGACATTTATTCCCCATTGTGGAGTGGTACATGGGTGGAACCAGCCTCCCACAATATTGATATGTTGCAAGTGCTCCATTTCTTCTCATGTAGCAGTGACAATAGATCTCTAAAAGACACTCGGATTACCTTCTTAAGGGCCAACATGAGCTTTAAGAGGGGTCACCTGACACAGGCAGTTCTGTATCTCAGTAAGCCAAATGAGTCAAATCAACCCTCACGTTCCAGGTGCCATGGCCAAATGACCCTCTTTGCTCTTGAGTTTATAACTCTTCCTTTACACAGATGTTTCTAACCTGTTTTGAGACATCTTATCATCTCTCAAAGGACCAAGACCTTTTCCTGTCAGCAGTATCCTCCCCACCTCCAATAAAACCATAGTATCTTCATTGAAAAAGCTTATAGGAAATGTCTATGTCAAGGGTAAAATGCAATTAATTTTTATTTTTTATTTTTTTGTTGGTCGTGGGGCTTGAACTCTGGGCCTGGGCGCTGTCCCTCAGCTCTTCAGCTCAAGGGGAGTGCTCTACCACTTGAGCTACCGCACCACTTCCAGTTTTCTGAGTGTTTATTGGAGATAAGAGTTTCACGAACTTTCCTGTCTGGGCTGGCTTTGAACCTCGATACTCAGATCTCAGCCTCATGAATAGCAAGGATTACAGGCGTGAGCCACCAGCGCCCAGCATAAAATGCAATTAAGAAAAATCATTTTGCATCATTGCCAGGCATTTTTCTTTTTAAAATTTAGAAACATTTATGAAATATATTCATTTCTAGTTTTATATTTGTTCTCTAATGCAGCTTTTAGTAAAAAAAAAAAAGTAATTGTCTTTAAATTCAGAAACAAACTTGGTGACTTTTGGAAAACAAACTAAATAACATGAGATTCATTTCCTTTTATTGTTTATGTAATTGTGCTTTCCTATCAGGGAAAAATCGAGGAAGCAGTGACTGCATTTGAAGAACTCATACGCAAATACCCTCACAGTCCAAGAGCAAGATATGGAAAGGCACAGGTATCTATCACCAAACCCTTCCATTCACACCATTTTTCTGATGGCTATGTTTTCTGTGTCTGGATATTGTTCATTCTTTCCTATTTGTATTCTCTTTGGTCATCTTCTAATTTCTACACGTAGTCATTTTTTTAGGTATAAACCCAAACAAGAATCAACATTTTTTATTCCTTTATGAGATAGTTAGATGTGGCCACCAAATGAGCACAAGAAAAAGTTTTTCGTCCCACTGCTGTGCAGATAGGAGACCCAAAATGTCATACAGAGCCACAAGGGAATATGTTTGGGTGGTCAGAAGCAGAAGCTAAGAGCAAGGAGAAAGTTTAGGACCACTACTTTACTGGGACTTCCATAGGAAGGCAAAGAAGGACAGCTGAACAATTCAAGATTGGCTAGTTTGAGTAACTCTGCCAGTCTATATGCATGGTTTCTACTTGCTGAGAGCTGCTTTGAGATGATAGAGCAGAGGAGTCTTGTATCCTATGTTACTCCTCTGATAGAGGAGACCAAAGGCTTGCTCCCTGTTCTCTCTGTGACAAACTCCAGCCCCTCCCCAGCCAGAGGTTTTCTAAGATGTCAAATATCACTCTTAACAGAAATTTTTAAATACTCATAATATAATAATATAATGATATCATGTTCTGGTGGAAGATACTTGCTAAATTGTATTTAGTGAGATGTATCAAGCCACTGTGGGCACTGGAGATCAGCCATCCACAATATATTTAAAATCCCTCTGTCCTCATGGCATCTCCATTGCGAAGGGAAGACATTACATAACATAAATAACATGACAATATATAATAATAATTAATATAACATGAATAATATAAATAACAAAAGTGTGACTGCTTGCTGGTGATAAGTGCTGAGAACAAGATAGAATGGAGCACAAGATTAAAGCACGCTCTTGGACGTGAGAGATTGTTGACTTTGTGAATGGGTGACTGAGTGCTGACCAAGGAAGTGACATTTTAGCAACACCTTTCAAGTCTTATAAATAAATGCATATTTAAGATAATACTACATGCTATTAAAATGTTTTAGAGCATATTCATGCTCTACCGAAAAGAAAGTAATAGAATAAAGGCCATACCCATTACGTTGTTTTGGTTATAGATGATGTAATTGAAAATGACAAGACAACTCTCGGTGTGGTAATATATTTTGTAATCCGAGCACTTAGAAGGCTGGGACAGGAGGATTAAAAATTTGAGGTCAGTCTGTTTTATAGTGAGACCTTATCTCAAAAAAGTATAATTATAAGGGAAAGGAAGAAAAGAAGGAAGGAAGGAAGGAAGGAAGGAAGGAAGGAAGGAAGGAAGGAAGGAAGGAAGGAAGGAAGGAAGGAAGGAAGGAAGAGAGGAAGGAAGGAAGGAAGGATAAAATTTTAGATAATAAGGTCAAAAAATCACTCTCCATAGAGGAACTATGTGAATGAAATGTAACTGAGTTGTGGAAACTGCTGTGAAGGCAAAGGGAACAGTAAGCAAAGGCTGTTGTGCCAGGAAGCAATTTTGTGTAGAAAGCCAGACATTTAAAAGGACATGTTGCTGGGCTCCAGAGCTTACTAGCTACTCAGGAGGCTGAGTTCAGAGGATTATGGGTTGAAGCCAGCCTGAGAAGGAAAGTCTGTGAGACTCTTATCTCCTAAACTACCAAGAAAGCAGGAAGTAGAGCTGTGGCTCAAGTGGTACAGCACTAGGCTTGAGCAAAAGAAGCTTAGGGACAGCAGCCAGGCCCAGAGCAAGCCCCATGGGCCAGAGTTCAGCACCTCACAGGTTTCATTGTTTGTGCTTGAGAGGGCCTTTAGAAGATTTTATGAATGGTCTTCCCATCTGATTGTTCTTTATAGATTAATTTGGTTACAAAGTGAAGAACAGACTCTGGGAGCAAAAGCAGAATAGAAGGAAGATTATAATGTATACAAAAGATGTTGGTGGCTTGGACTGTGGTCATGGCCATGGTGTTGGGGCAAGTGTGCAGATGGTATTGGAGGTACCAAGACTTCATGATGGATTGTTAGATTGGAAAGATATTGAGAGAGAGGACTCGAGGGCAACTCCTGGTTTGATTTGACTAACTGAAGGAAAGATGATACCTGTTACTGATTAAGAAATAAAATAGGTTTGGTGCGTAGTTGAAATCAAGAATTTGCCTTTATCTGACTTATGTAACTGTAACCCCTTTGTGCATCACCTTTATAATAACAATTTAAAAAATGAAAAATAAATTTAAAAAAGAATTTGCTTTAACTGAACACTGGTGGCTCACTGTAATGCTAGCTACTCAAGAAGCAGAGTCCTAGAGAATGGGATTCAGAACCAGAATAGTCAGGCAGAATTCAGGCAGATTCAGGCAGAATTGTCTGAGAAACTCCATCTCCAAATAACTACCAAAACATTGGGAAAGAAGTAGAATTCAAAAAGCGTGGCTGGAGATGTGGCTCAAGTAGTAAAGCACCAGCCAAGCAAACAAGCTTGAACAAACGAGAGGTCCTGAGTTCAAGCCCTGGTAGCAAGGGGGAAAAAGTTTACTTTAAGTCTTGTTAACTTTGCAAGGCTTATTAGATATTTAAGTAAACATATAAGTAAAAGGGAATTAATTTTTGTTAGATAAATTTTAATAAATCAACTTTGTGAAAAAAAACTAGTGCAAATTCTTCTTATCTTCAGTATAGATCAGATACACTACACAGCAACTCTATGATGATTGTAAATTCACTTGACCAATAATCCTTTAAGATTGAAAAACTATATTGTTATTAAGAAAGAGAAGACTACCTACATTTCATGCCTGTTCACATAAGTGATGGGCTTTGTCACTAGTAGTAAGTCTTTTAATGAAGGAAAACATAATTATACAGAAAGTGTTTTGTGCAAATGTTAATTTCGTGATGGCAAAAATGTTTTGTTGCTTTTAGGTTTTTTTTTCTTTCTCTATGATTTAATTGTGGGACAAAGTCTAAATAAATGTGGTACTTTTGAAGTACACTCATCACTGCATTCACACCCTTAATTCACAGGAGGAACTTAAGGCTTAAAGCCTCAAGCAATATTTTTTATCTCTAAACTATTACACTACAGATGTTATTGATATTAACACTAATGTGGCATAAAGCAGAAGTTGGGCATGGAAAATTAAATTTTAATAGAGTAATGTAAAAGAAACGGTAAATTCTTAGCAATTTAAAAATACAAACTCAACAGAAGATAAAGTACATTCTGGGCATCATGGCACATGCCTGTGATCACAGCACTAATGAGATAGAGGCACGAGGGTTCTAAGTTGAGTCTGAACCCTCAAACTGAGGGTTAGGCAAGTTCTAGGCCAGTCTGGACTATGGTTCCATGTCTAAAAAAATGAAACAGATTTTATAAGGAGCAATACATTGTTTTTATTCTCTACTAGTAAACAGTTTAGCTTGGAAATCCCAACAAGTTTTAAAATTTCAGCAATATAAAATCAGAGACACATTAGTTTTTATTGCCATGTATAACACAGTATGCATATTATTCTTTGGATCACTGTGAAAATAAATCTGTTTTGAACAAGCTCCCTTAACATTGGGCACAAAAATCTTAAATTATAAACCTAAATCACTTGGTTATCTTTCACAAGCCATTAATGCCTCTGAAACAGAAAATAACACTTTTCCTGGGAAGTTTTGGTGAATTAATCTATCAACAATATTAATATCTTGTACAAATGCGCAATTACAATGCAGTGTTACCCACATGTGCAATGTTGGTTTTAAAAAGAAACAAAAACAAGAAAATAGTCTTTATAATTCTGATCCAAACAAGTCTGTGTCATCTTTATTCAAGAGATTTTTTTAAGGAATGATATATCAGTTTAATGCTGTTGTTTTCACAATTCTAGAAGTTGTAAAATGTTTATTCTTTCTTAGATAAGTTTTTTTTATTGTAAAAATGTACAGAGGGGTTACAGTTACAACATGAGCAAGGTAATGAGTATATTTCCTATCAAGCATTGTTGCCTCTTCCTTTGTTTTTCCCCTACCATCCCTTCCCTCCCACCTCCACAACCATACTGCCCCTTCTCCCCCTGCCCCTAAATTGTAAAGTTCATTTTTCAGCATAGTGTCTTCTACATCTCATTGTTATAATGGGTCAACCTTATTTAAACATTTTGTTTTTCCCTTCTTCTCCCCAACTTAGACTGACATCAAATACAGTGAAAACAGTGGTTATGCTATGGGGGAGGAACACACAAAGCAACAACAAAAAAAATCACATGGTGCATTTTAAATATATTAGACACAGCAGCAAGAAAGAAAAAACCACTTGTGTCCCTATCTTGGGGTTAATTGTGCAACGTCATCTTATATGGTCATATGTACATAGCTTTTGATCTTTTCTGCTTGTCCCAGACATATACTAATTATTGCAAATAAGGGAACTCATGGGACCTATGTTTCTTTGGGCCTGCCTTACTTCACTTAATATAATTTTTTCCAAGTCTTTCCATTTCCTAACAAATGGGGTGATGTCATTCTTTCTGATGGAGGCATAGAATTCATATATATGTATATATATATATATATGAATATATATATCACATTTTCTTTTTTTTTTTTAATTTTATTTTATTTTATTTGAGAACATACTGTACAGAGGGGTTACAATTACATGGGCAGGAAAATGCATACATTTCTTACCAAGCATTGCAGCCTCCTCTTTGTTTACCCTTCACCTCCCTTCCCAGCCTCCCCCCTCCCCCCCACCCAATCATACCCCCCCCCCCCCACCGACATTGTAAAGCTGGTTTTGACATGACATTTTGTACTTCTCATTGTTGCAACAGGTCCACCTGAATCCTTAAACGACTTGTTTGTCCCCATCTCCTCCACATGTTATACTGACATCAAATATAGTGAAAGCGGGGGTTACACTGTGGGGGAGGGACATACAAAGCAACAAAGAAATAATCTTATAAATGCGTTAGAAACACATGCATGAAAGAAACAAAAACATTAAAATACATATTTGAGGGTTCGTTTTCCTAACATCACATTCTCTGACTTTTTCCGCTTGACTCATACCTATACTAGATATTGCAAATAAGGGAAACCATGGGACCTATGTTTCTTTGGGCCTGGCTTACTTCACTTAATATAATTTTTTCCAAGCCTTTCCATTTCCTAACAAATGGGGCAATGTCATTCTTTCTGATGGAGGCATAGAATTCCATTGTGTATATATACCACATCTTCTTGATCCATTCATCTACTGAGGGGCATCTGGGTTGGTTCCATATCTTAGCTATGGTAAATAATGCTGCAATAAACATAGTTGAAAGCTAGAATAGTTTTTTTTTTTTTTTTTTGGTCGGCCGTGGGGCTTGAACTCTGGGCCTGGGCGCTGTCCCTCAGCTCTTCAGCTCAAGGCGAGTGCTCTACCACTTGAGCTACAGCGCCACTTCTAATATATCACATTTTCTTGATCCATTCACCTACTGAGGGGCATCTGGGTTGGTTCCATATCTTAGCTATGGTAAATCATGCTGCAATAAACATAGTTGTGCCGGTAGCTTTAGTATGGTCTTGTTTGTGATCATTTGGGTAAATGCCCAAAAGTGAGATTGCTGGGTCATAGGGGAGCTCTATGTGGAGTCTTTTGAGGAACCTCCATACTGCTCTCCAAAGTGGTTGAACAAGTTTACACTCCCACCAACAATGCAGTACGGTTCCCTTCTGCCCACATCCCCTCCATCATCTATTGTTATTAGAGTTCTTGATTATAGGCATTCTAACTGCGGTGAGGTGGAATCTCAATGTTGTTTTGATTTGCTTTTCTTTTATGACTAGAGAGGTTGAGCATTTCTTCATGAGTCTATTTGGCCATTCTTATTTCCTCTCCAGAGAAGTTTCTCTTTAAGTCTTTAGCCCACTTATTTATTGGGCATTTGTTTCTTTGAGAATTTGTTGTTGGGGGATTTAATTTTTTGAGTTCCAGGTATATTTTAGTTATGAGACCCTTGTCCATTGTATGGCTAGTGAAGATCTTCTCCCAATCCTTAGGCTTTCTATTGATCTTGCTAGCTATGTCCTTTGCTATGCAGAAGCTCTGCAGCTTATGCAATCCCATTTGTCCAACCTTTCTTTGATTTGTTGTGTTTTTGGGTGTCTATTAAGAAAATTTTGGCCTGTGCCAAGGAAACCTAGGGCTTCTCCTATTCCTTCCTGTAATGTTTTCAGGGTGTCTGCTTTGACTCAGAAGTCATGTTTATTCTTCACTAAATGAAAGGATCCTCGGGCTAAGGAGAAGGACAGATCATACAAACTACCCTCTTTCTGTCTTTTCAGATTGAAAGGTGGTTTTTTTTGTTGTTGTTGTTTGTTTTGGTTTTTGGTTTGTTTGTTGGTGCTATTACTGGGGCTTGAACTCAGGGTCTGAGTGCTGTCCCTTAGCTTTTGCCCTCAAGGTTGGCACCCTATCACAGTTCCACTTCCACTTTTTGATGGTTAATTGGAGAGAAGAGCCTCACATAATTTCCTGTTGGGGCTGGTTTTGAACAGCAATCCTCTGATCTCAGCCTCATGAGTAGCAAGTATAACAGACACGAGCCACTGGTGCCCAGCTCAGACTGAGTTTGAAGAATGTATTCTTGTCTATTGTCTATCTGTCGTCATGGCAAGCATTTATCCTTCCACAATCTTTGGAGAGACCTCAGTTCTAATCTGCTTTGTGGCTTGGTAGGCTCCAGATGGTGAAGGTATTCTTGATAGTTTCAGTAGGAGTTCCTACGCTTAGGTTGCTATTTCTGTTGGATCATCAGTGTTTATGATCTGAGGAGTTAACTCATTATGGCCAGATTCACAAGAAGCTAGACAGAAAAACTATGTATGAATATATAATGGAAGACCACACAGGTCACATGACCAGTATAAGTGATCAACATTTGAGCTCATCTCCTGGTAAATAAATCTATTCTGTAAGATATTTACAGGTATGAAAGATAATTGAGTAATTGGAGGCATATTTCCATAAAACGTGGGTAAATTGCTTTTTTCTAATCTTAGAGATTATTGTCCGATACCTTTTTCTCTCTCAGTAATCTGCTCACTGATTAAATTCTAGTCTTCCTCATCTTGGGGCAACCAAGCGAACAAATTATTTTATGGACACAGTGTTTTCCTGAAGGTTTCTCAGAGATGTCTTATTTTATCAGCTGGTATTAATTTTTACTGTTTTGTTCATTTGTGGGTGGCAGGAGGAAGATGCATATCACTTTCTTACAAATCCTCAAATTCTGCAGTGATGCTTTAGTTGAGTTCTATGGACATCTGTAGCTATCTTAGGACATATGTTTTGTTAACAAATTAAACATTTTAAATAGGTGAACATGTTCATATATTCTAATATATATATATATTTCAAGTATATATATTTGAAAAGCAAATATATATGTGTATATATATATATACACATATATATTTGAATCCCTCCATGTCTCCAATCCCCTTTAGCAGCTGGCATATCTCTCTACCTTCATTTATAATTAAACTCCTTGAACCAGTTCCTCCTCTATCTTCCTACATTCTCTTGAAGCTGTTGCATAGAGTCATGTCCCTAAACAGTCCTGTGAAAACTCATTGCCAGGCCATCACAGGCTCCACCCCTTCCAGTCCCCAGTTTCATCTAGTCCAACTTGACTTTTAATATACTTGAACTCTTCCTTTGAAACCTTTTTTTTCACTTGTCCTCCTGAATACCATTGTTTTCTTTTCATTTTCTTCTTACCTCATTCCTCCATCCTTCTTGTTCATCTTTCCCTATTTTCCTGACATCAAGTAACAGTGAAACTTTGGAGTGTCAATTTTTCGACTTCTTTTCTCTGTACTCAACACCTTTTCCTACCTTTAAATAGGTGTATGTTCCGTGTATGTCCCTAATGATGACCTCATCCTGAACTCTAGACTCATTCATATATTACACCTCTGAGCCAATATCTTCAGTTGGACTTGATATATCCTAAACTCTACTCCTGATTCATACTCTTAAACCTGTTTCTGTGCTACCTTCTTATTTCTGTGATATAATAGTTCCACCAAATGACCACGTACATTGGACATCTATAACTTCTCTCTTCCTTTCTTCCTAGCCTGTGTTCAGTTCGCACCTCTGTTGCCTCTGACCTTCAAAGTATCTATAATTTTCCCTTCCTTCCACCAACACTGCTGTCATAGCCCTGGTCACAGCCATGGGGTGGCTGTCTTCTTGGTGCAGAATACTACTTGGGTTCTATGCTATTACCCCATCCCCTCAACCTGTTATCACTGTTATTGCCAGAGTGACCCCTTTAACACAGAAGTGAGAGCTTGTCAACTTCCCCCTCAATGTCTGTCCACCTCTCTGAACGTAGCAGAAATTTTAGTAGCTTCTCAGGTCCTGAGTCACTCGATGGCCACCATCCAGCTCTCTTCCTCCCTGCACTGTGCTGCTCTTCGTTGATCTCTTTTCCCCCACATATCTCCTGACCTGTTTCCTCTTTCATGCCCTCTCCAATTTTCCTGGTTAAACTCACAACTGTCCTGCTTCATCCAGTATTTCTCAGCCTGCTCTGTCTCTACCCATAGTACTTACTACCATCAGACACATGACATCCTTATTCTTCTTTTGTCATGCTGTCCTTTCCAAAATGGAAGTAAAAGGAGAATTAGGTTTCATCTGTCTTGATTCATTTGTCTCCTACATACACAGAGCAGTGTCCTCACCCTAGAGCTGTAAAAGGAATGAATGAATGAACAAATGAATCAGGAAAGAATGAGCACACAAAAGAAAGACTAGGGGTTACAGTTACATGCATAAAGCAATGACTACATTTCTAGTTGAGCGTTGTTACCCCCTTTCTTGTTCTCCTTCTATAATTCATACCATACAAGTCCTCATCAGCCCTTCTGTTGCTTTGCATTACTCTTGCTTTTATGACTTTCTTTCTCATTTGCAGCTCAGTAGCATACTTTGCTTTCTATTATTAAAACAATGTGATGTTTTGCTTTCTTAGTCTGTATCACTTGACAAAGATAAAAGTTTAATACATCTTTAATTTCTTGCAAAACATGTCACACAAAGTTAAGTTTATGCGAGTATTTTGGGGAATTGCAAACATTGCTGCTTGTGGAACATGAATCTCGTCTTGGGGTTTCCTCTAGTGTGAAGATGACCTAGCCGAGAAGAGGAGGAGCAATGAGATTCTGCGCAGAGCCATCGAGACCTACCAAGAGGTGGCCAGCCTGCCCGATGTCCCCGCTGACCTGGTGAAGCTGAGTTTGAAGCGGCGGTCAGAACGCCAGCAGTTTCTAGGTGGGGGACAGTAGGAGTAAACTCAGTAGGAAATAGCACACTTTTATCCTGAAGAGCCCCCAAACCCTGCATACTCAGAAATTAGGGAGGAAATCTGCATTTGATAACTAATTTCAGCAATTTATCTGACTGTCTTAGACTGACAATTGTTAAAACTAAAATAAAAATCCAACCTCAATAATTAAAAAGATGCAATGAGAGATGGGAAGGTGGCTCAGTGGTAGAGCGCTTGCCTTGCATGCATGAAGCCCTGGGTTCAATTCCTCAGCACCACATAATCAGAAAAAGCCAGAAGTGGCACCATGGCTCAAGTGGTAGAGCACTAGCCTTATGCTGTAGAGCTGAGGGACAGAGTCCAGGCCCAGAATTCAGGCCCCATGACCAAAAAAATAAAATACAATAGATGCAGTGAGCATTTTACACCATTGTGCACCAATTTAAAGATGAGTCAAATAGAATACTCGAGGTTTGGAGAATTTGATAATAAATTAGTTGGTCTAGAATGAACACTTAGTGAATTACCACATTCTTTTCTAACTACCAGACTGATTCCTAGGATGTAAAACTATCAGTAGAATAATTTTAATTATTAGAAATTAGTATTAGTTAATAGAAATTAGAATATTAGAAATACCCAGCCCCATAAAATTTGAACCTGTACCAAACAAGATAAGACATTCATTTTTTCGACATAAAGAAATCTTGGAAACAGTTTGGGAAGAGCGACAGAAATCATATTCTTAACTGATCCCAGCTCCTAGTGTCAAAAGCAATATGAGACTAGCTGCTAACTCCATGTCAACCAGGCTTGTGATTCTTTTTCCCTACTGTGTGAAGGAGGAGAGAAGGCTCTGAGATATGTGTTACTGAGGAAATGGGTGCTCTGCTGACTGTACATTATATAAACGCATTCATAGTCCACTTAGGGGAGGCTTAGATGAGTCATAGGGCTTAACTAACCTTTTCCTTATGGGTCCTGGTGCTTGAACTCAGAGCCAGGGCCCCATTTTACTAAAGGCCAGCACTCTACCACTTGAGCCACAGCTCCACTTCTGGCTTTTTTTGTTGTTGGTGGTGGTGGTCGTGGGGCCTGAACTCTGGGCCTGGGCACTGTCCCTCAGCTCTTCAGCTCAAGGCTAGTGCTCTACCACTTGAGCCACAGCACCACTTCCATCTTTTTCTGCTTATGTGGTGCTGAGGAATCGAACCCAGGACCTCATGCATGCAAGGCAAGCACTCTACCTCTGAGCTACCTTCCCAGCCCTGAATTCTAGCTGTTTTGATGGTTAATTGGATATAAGAGTCTCACAGACTTCCTGCCTGGGCTGAATTTGAACTGTGATCCTCATATCTCAGCCTCCTGAGTAGCAAAGATTACAAGCACAAGCCACCAGTACACATTTCAACTAACCTTTAATCTGTTCTGAGATACAGAATGAAGGGAGACCATGTCTTTTTGTAGATGATCAGACTGAGATAAGGAAGAGAGCCCAAGTGATAATGGAAAACTGTAAGAAATGGTCTGTTAGACTTACATTCATAAAGCTCAGTCTAGAGAAAGGCAAACACACAGCACAAAACTAGACAAGCGTGGCCACGCTGAGCTAAGTACTGAGCGTGTACTTAGTACAGGCTGAGTTCAGTCAGTGGCAGTTGCTGCTGTGGGTGCATTGTAACTGGTGCCTCTTCTTCAGTATAGTGCTGCTTACTACCAACTAGAGATTCTGACTTTAAAGCATTAATATTTTGTGTATCATGAATGTTGACATTCATTTTTTAAAATTTTTTTACAAATGAAACTACAAGTTTATTTGAAAATATAAAAGTTTAAAAAAAAAAAAAACAGGCCTAGCCAAACAACAAAAACACCAACCACACATAACTATTCCAGTTTATATTAACTCTGAACACCACACACTATTTACTAACCACTGAGTTGCATTTTTTTAATGTCAATTTCATGGTAGAGTTGAGTCAGGTGATAAGTTAGCAACCCAATGAGAGTATCTTAATGCTAAAATAAAATGCTGATCTCATTTGAGAAAATAGAACAGACAGTATTTTCTCCTTGGAATGAGTAAAGAATACTGCTCGCCACCTGACATCTTATGAAGAGTGGAGGTGTGTTGGGGGGAACAACTCTCAAATCCCATGACTTTGCATTAATTTTTAAAGGATATATTGAAATATTCAGCTCAGAATTGAAGACTGGGGCACCTCCTCTTAAGTTCTGTGCCAAGTACCTCGCTTAGCACACCTTCTCCCCAACCTGGTAAGAAGACTGCATGTGAAGAAGTCTCCACATCCCTCCTCCAGTACCTTAATATGCATATGTCCTTTGTGCTGAAATGAGAATGGAACAAGGCCACCTGAGCTCTAAGGCCATAGGGCAATTTTCATGGCAAAGGTCAAGGTGGTGAAATTGCCTTACAGTAGAACAGAGGTCTTAGGGGCAGAGGGGAAGGGACAGTGTGATGGCTCCAAGTGGGATTTTACCTGCACCTTCATTATGCTTAACAGGAGTCCAGAAGAAGCACCAGCTACGCGCAGGTGCTCATATCTGTAATCTTGGCTATTCAGAAGGCTAAGAACTGAGGATCATGATTGAGATCCAGCCCAGGGCACAGAAGACTAAGAGTCTCTTATCTCAAATTACCCACCAAAAAACTGAAAATGGAGATGTGGCTCAAGTGGGAAAGTGCCATCTTTGAGTGGAAAAAGCCAAGCAGAGCACAAATCCTTGAGTTCAAGACTTATTACTGGCATGTGTGGGTGGGCAGATGCGTGTATGCACGCGCATGTGCACGCACGTGCACACACACACACACACACACACACAAGCAAGCACACAGAAGTGAAGTGTGAGTCTAGGTGAGCAGGTAGGAAAACAGCATGTGCAGAACAACAGAGTCAGATTTGTTAGTGAGGGAATGACCGGCTGAGCTACTCATCCCCAGGTGATGCGGGAATACAGTTGTCCAGCAATGGAGTACAGGCCATGGGATCAGTATGTGTGTGATGCTCTAAGCAGATGGCTTGTTACTGAAGTTGGCTTGCTCACTGATGGTCCTTTTATACTCTTGGTTAATGTTCACTTTAAATGAACATGAGTCTTTTAATTGGTTTTTTTGTATGTATGGTCAGTGTTATTTAGCACTTATTTTTTCTTAAACATTTTGGGTTTCCAGCTGTGGCAAAAAATAATGACAGGTGGCCTCTGCCATTTCCATCAGATTGCCTTTGGAATAAACATATCCCTGTAGTGTATAGCACCCCATCATCCACTAGAGGGCCTCCTAGCACTTATTCTAGAGATGGTGTCTGGAGCAAAGTACTGTCCTGTGCATCTTTTTTTTTTTTTTTTTTTTTTTTTTTTTTTTAGTGTTTTACACCAGGTGCTTGGCCCTTAAATCATCAGCAGTTTTAATTTCTCTACCCTCTACTATAATTTTAAACCTAACCAAAAATATTTCAGCAAATTATTTTTACAAAGAATTGGTAACAAACTTTCTTGAGGCATTTAGCCTAAGAAATAAATATTAATAGGAAATGAGCATGCTCTAATTAATTTTATATTGTCTACTGATAAAAAAATTGTTGGCATCATCATACCAACATCATGAATTCCACTAAATATTTCTTAGTTAGACATTGATAAAGTCAGGTAGGAGCTGGTTTTCATTCCGGTTGAATAGTCTGTCATGATCTGGGTTCTCAATACAAAGATGTACATGATCTGTTGGTATTTTTTTTCTTCCCCCAAATCAGGTCACATGAGAGGTTCCTTGCTTACCCTGCAGAGATTAGTTCAACTGTTTCCCATGGATATCTCCTTAAAGAACGACCTTGGAGTGGGCTACCTCTTGATGGGGGACAATGCCAATGCCAAGAAGGTGTATGAAGAGGTGAGCATCTATCTTCTACTGAATCAGAGTTCCTTGGATATTGATCCATCTTCTACTCAATCTTAGCTTCTAAAGCTATTTGCAGATTACATATAACACCCACCCAGTCTCTCATTCCCTTAAGTAGCATGTCTGGTGTTATTATAATTGATAAGTTCAAAATTTAGTTTTTACAATGCATTTTTCTTATCAGAAGAGTTTAAATTTTAGTTAACATCAAAACCTCCAACTATAATTGTGATTTTTTTCCCCTCAGACTTTATCTTTACCAGCTCATGAACAATTGAGAGTATTGTTTGTGCTAGGAAGAGGAACTCAAATGCTTGTGAACATAAAAAGAAACATGTAATCTGTCCCTTTGCAATAGAAGTCTGGAGGAACCCAGGCACATGGGCCTTTGGGGCTTGTGGAGGTCACTCACTCTTCAGAAGGGAATTGACTTTTCGATCTTCGGGCAAGAATGCCTTTGAAGGGATTTCTACCTTACAATGGATGTTTTAATAGAGAACCACTAAGTCCCAAGCAACTATAAAACTAGAAAGCTTGTTTCTTTAGGTAATGAGGAAATTCATGTACAGAATAAGCAGGATGTGAAATGAATTTTTAAGCAGAAGAAAGGTAATACCTCTGTGGGGGAAAAAAGATGGATGTATTTCCTTGTTATTTTTTTAATTCAGGGCTGTAGATCAATGGTTTTCAAGCAGCTGCTGTTCACATCAAAATACTACTACTCCGTGTTAGACAATATGATTTCTTCTGTCTGCAAAACACCACCAAGTGCAGTAGTTTCATCCTCTATCCAGAGACCTGGCCTGCTCACAGAGTGGCACTTGTCTCTCTTTATTGCTGCTGATGCCTAATTGAAAATCATTGAATTGTGAAGCAGTCGCTTCTTCACCCTTATCATCATTTTTATGTTATTCAAGAGAACAGAAATAAGACTTTTGCTTTTTATGACATCACTAATAGCTGCATGGGTAGATTGAGACTACAGTGTTGAAAATGTGTAGTGTCCCTTAAGTCTGTCACAAATCATAATTAATTCTATGTTCATGTGAGACCTGGCATTTAATAAGGGCCACACATACTCGCTTCATCATATAGTGCTTACTGAGAAACATCGTGTGTCTCAGTGATGTGTCTCAGTGATGGAGGAGCTTGTGAATATAACAACTGTCAAACTCTAACAGACATGACTTCTATTCTACCACTCTCAAAGGCCACAAAGATGGAAGTATCTTTCCTTCCCTCCCTCCCTCTCCTTAAGCACTCCCTCCCTCCCTCTTCCCTTCCTTCCTTCCTTCCTTCCTTCCTTCCTTCCTTCCTTCCTTTCTTCCTTCCTTCCTTCCTTCCTTTCTTCCTTTTTTCTATTCTTGCCTCTCTCTTTGGTTCTTTCTTCCTTCCTTGCCTTTCTTCTTTCTTTCTCTCGCTTCCTCCCTCCCTCCTTCCTCATAGAATTCTTTTTTATTTTTCTTCTCTCTTTTCCTTCCTTTCCCTCTCCCTCAATAAAGGGCTGACTGAATGCCGAGCACACATGAAATTAGGGTAGGATCCAAAATATGGCTATTATCTCTAACACAATATGGATTTATCCTATCTCACCTTTAAAAATCCTTCCTTGAATATATTCATCCCCTTTGCCTGACACTAAATCTCAAATAAGTGAAGCAGTTTACTTCTCCATGTAAAATTAATTTTGCCTCCATTGTTTATGCACTTGAAATCATAACCTCCTGTGATTGAGCATAATAGGATGCAAAACCTGTAAAATATGGCCATATTATACAACTGAATGGGTTTCTTTTTAAGGAAACTTTAATAAATTGAAAATAAGTGTAAGATTTGCCCTTTTCTCCTCCTCTAACTAACTTCCTCACTAATGAACTGTGTTTAATGGATATTCTCTTCTCCCTCTCCCTCTCCCTCGCCATCTTCTTCACCCTCCCTCCCTCCCTCCGTCCCTCCCCCCCCCCCCTCTCTGCTGGTCCTAGGGCTTGAACTCTGAGTCTGAGCATTACCTCTGAACTTCTTTTGCTCAAGGCTAGTGGTCTACCACTTGAGCCACAGTCCTACTTTTGGCTTTTTTTGTGATTAAAGAGTCTCATAGACTTTCCTGCCTGGACTGGCTTCGAACCACAGTCCTCAGATCTCAGCTCCTGAGTAGGTAGGATTACAGATTTGGCTCCTGATTGATTCTCTTTCTTCAGCTAAAGTTTATCCTGTTTTATCTTTGTCAACCATTGTTTTCAGACAACTAATATAGGAATTTATATTTTTCTTTTTTTTTTTTTTTGATTTCTGGTTTTGAGTAAATTTGCAAACCAATAGTTCCTATTCTGGATTTTGGCTGCTTTCACTTTCAAAAGTGACTGGCTTTAAACTGATGGTTAAGTTGCTGACCTCTGCAGCTTTGGGAGCTCATATGTCTCCCTTCCAGTTAGTGATGGTGCTAGCTACTCCAACCAGCCCTGCTCCAGAGCCAAACATTGATTCCTTCCATCCCTGGTATTTTAGGCTGATCCTTCACATGTAACACACAGTTATGAAGAAGCACACATACTGGCTGAGAAAATAGTTGATTAAATAAATGCCCAAGTTGCCTTCGTGGAGGTTACAGTTTGGTACTGTCACTGTTTTCTGTTCATTTACCTTCTACTCAGTGTTTACCTCCTTGCTTTGTAAGCTGATCTACTATGTAGGCTTTCTCTCCTCTCTCCTTCCTCAAGCCCCAAACTCAGGACACCCTCCCTTGGCTTCTGTGGGTCCTGCTATTAATAGCAGTATCTTTTTTTAAAATCAATTTTATTATAAAGGTGATGTACAGAGGAGTTACAGTTACATAAGTAAGGTAATGAATACATTTCTAATCTGTGTGATTGTGTGCCATTCCAGAAGAAGTATCCAAGCAAATACCTATAATTGGTTGTTCGTGGATTATACTAGGTACCTATGTATAAGCACTAATATTGTATCTACACTATAAAAAAGGATATACTTCAAGATAAGGCTTTAAGATGAAATGAAACAGTACTTTAAATGTTTCATTTCACTGGTAAAAAAGTCTTTAACTGATTACAAATTACTCTTTTAGGAACATCTATGTACAGTGCTACTTATAGCAACTCTACCCTCTCTCCCTGTCTGTTTATCCATGGTGGATTATTATATTACAAGACCAAGAGTGAATGTTGGAAATTGAGATGGCATAGAACAATGTACACACTTGTGAGTGTGTGTATTGTATTACAGTGATACTTTGTGGGAATATTATTAAGCAAAATGAGGGGTTTCTGTACATAGGCACTGAGATACTGTAACAGCTAATCTAGGGATGGAGATGACTACTGAGTGGCTTCTGGGTGGGCCACAGATACAGTGTGGAAACACTGGCAAAGCGGTGATTGATTCAAGCCCTCAGCAGGATAGAACAGAGCTGTGGAGATTTCATCATTCTATTCACAATGGCACACATATTAAAACATGAATTGTTTATTCAGGGAACTTTCATTTAATGTTTCAGACTGTTGTGTTTTTGTTCTTTGTCAACAGTTGTAGGGTTTAAACTCAGGGGCTTCCACTTGTCAGTTAGGTGCTCTTCATGTGAGCTAAACCTCTAGCCCTTTTTGCTTTAGTTATTTTTTTTAATAGGATCTCACATTTATTCTCAGGCAATCATGGACCATGATCTTCCTGTTTGTGCTTCCCACATAGCTGTGATGACAAGTAACTTTTTATTAGAGATGGGGTCTTCTGAACTTTTGGCTTGGGCTGCCCTAAACACATGACCTTCCTGATCACTACTTCTCAAGTAGCTTAGATTACAGGCATGAACTATTGCACAAGGCCTCTAGACACTGTTGATGACAGAATGTTAAACCCTGAATAAGGAGTCTATTGTATATGTTTTATTAAAACATCCTTAATATATGTCTTGCAAGGACTTTATAAAAAATGTCAGCCGTACTGGTTTGTTGTGGTTGTCTGTGTATATTTTATATATAAATATATTATTTGAATTTGCATACAAACATGTTTTATTTAAATATATTATTTGTATATAAAATGTGCAAATAGTATAAATATTCTTACAAAATATAATATAAAAATAAAGATAGTCAAGTAAACAACTGGGTTATATTTTCATACTTCCCCAGGTGTATCAGTAAATATAGACAAAGATGTATAATCTGTACATATAAGAGCCATGTGCCTGTTTCAAACTAAGAATATTTCAGACAGAAGTAGTAGTGATGATAATGTCTTCTGCTCAGAAATTATCTTGTACAAGTTATCAATCTGTGTGTTTTCATGTGACTTCTGTCCTCAGCCTCTTCTGTTGCCTTGTGTTTGTAATTTAACATCGTTCTTTTTTGCTACTCCTGGCCCTCTTTCCCTTTTTGCCTCCTTTATCCTGTGTCTTGAATGCTTTGTCCCTTCTCCTGGTGAACTCCTATTCAACCCTAAATGTCCTTTGGACCTTGCTCCCATCCACACTGAGTTAATTGTGAATGCATCTCCTTTGCTTGACATCCCTTGAGAAGACTATATCCAGGGCCTAGAAGAGTTCAGTGTGCTTTGAAATGCCTAGTAATTAATTGATTAATTACTTGAGATGATGGCCCTGTGTCTACAGTAGGCAGAAATGTCATTGTGTGGCTATCATAATTATAGTCCTCCCTGCATAGCTGTGCTGTCAGAAACATGATCTGCGTCCATCCCTTCGATTCTAGAGATGCACATTGAGCTTCTGCTCACTGTCTAACATGGGGCCAGTGCTGTGGATGACACAGAACACATAGAGCCTGTGCTTCCAGAGATCTCACTAGGAATCACAGACTAGCCTGTGCCCGTGCAGCTCAGCTTGCTCAGAGTTCCTAAGTCAAAAACATCTGAGCAACAGGATAAGCAAGGAGCAAAGCTCTGGCTAAGCAATGAGCAAATCAGATGAAGAAAACTGAACAAGGATAAAAAAAAGTAGGAGCTATCTCAATGTTGTTTTGATTTGCATTTCTTTTATGGCTAGGGATGTTGAACATTTCTTCATGTGTCTATTGGCCATCCTTCTTTCTTCTTCAAAGAAGCTTCTCTTTAAGTCTTTCGCCCACTTACTTATTGGGCAGTTGTTTCTTTGAGGATTTGTTGTTGGGTGGTTTAATTTTTTGAGTTCCAAGTATATTTTAGATATGAGACCCTTGTCCGTTGTATGGCTAGTAAAGATCTTCTCCCAGTCCGTGGGCTTTCTATTGATCTTGCTAGCTATGTCATTTGCCCTGCAGAAGCTCTGCAACCTTATACAATCCCATTTGTCCAGCCTTTCTTTGATTTGTTGTGTTTCCGGGTCTTTATTCAGAAAATTTCGGCCTGTGCCAAGGAGACCCAGGGTTTCTCCTATTCCATCCTGTAATGTTTTCAGAGTGTCTGCTTTGAGTTCAAGGTCTTTGATCCATTTGGAGTTGATTCTGGTGCAGGGTGATATATAAGGATCTAGCTTTAGTTTTCTACATGTAGTTAACCAGTTCTGCCAGCACCATTTACTGAAGAGGCTGTCTGTCTTCCATTCTATTGTTTTAGCTCCCTTATCGAAGATTAGATGGCTATAGGTCTGTAGGTTCATTTCTGGGTTTTCAATTCTATTCCATTGGTCCTGAGGTCTGTTCTTATGCCAGTACCAAGCTGTTTTGATTACTATGGCTTTATAGTAGAGTTTGAAATTTGGTACTGATATTCCTCCAGCAGTGTTCTTTCCGTTGAGGAGCGTTTTTGCTATTCGGGGTCTTTTATTGTTCCATATGAATTTTTGGATTGCCTCTTCTATTTCCTTGAAGAATGAGGGTGGAATTTTGATAGGTATTGCGTTGAATTTGTAGATAGCCTTGGGGAGTATTGCCATTTTCACGATGTTAATCTTTCCAATCCAGGAGCATGGGAGGTTTTGCCATTTTTTAAGTTCTGTGTTGATTTCCTTTTTCAAGATTTTAAAGTTTTCATCATAGAGGTCCTTCACTTCTTTAGTTAAGTTAATTCCTAGGTATTTTATTTTTTGTGGGGCTATTACAAATGGAGTTGCTTTCCTAATTTCAGCCACACTTTTCTCATTGTTGGCATACAGAAAAGCCATTGAGATATCACCTCACTCCAGTTAGAACAGCAAAAATCAAGAACTCTAACAACAACAGATGCTGGAGGGGATGTGGACAGAAAGGAACCTTACTTCATTGTTGGTGGGAATGTAAACTTGTTCAACCACTTTGGAAAGCAGTATGGAGGTTCCTCAAAAGACTCCACATAGAGCTCCCCAATGACCCAGCAATCCCACTTTTGGGCATTTACCCAAATGATCACAAACAAGGCCACACTAAAGCTACCAGCACAACTATGTTTATTGCAGCATTATTTACCATAGCTAAGACATGGAACCAACCCAGATGCCCCTCAGTAGATGAATGGATCAAGAAGATGTGGTATATATACACAATGGAATTCTATGCCTCCATCAGAAAGAATGACATTTCCCCATTTGTTAGGAAATGGAAAGGCTTGGAAAAAATTATATTAAGTGAAGTAAGCCAGGCCCAAAGAAACATAGGTCCCATGGTTTCCCTTATTTGCAATATCTAGTATAGGTATGAGTCAAGCGGAAAAAGTCAAATAATGTGATGTTAGGAAAACGAAACCTCAAATATGTATTTTAATGTTTTTGTTTCTTTCATGCATGTGTTTCTAACGCATTTATAATATTATCTCTTTGTTGCTTTGTATGTCCCTCCCCCACAGTGTAACCCCCGCTTTCACTATATTTGATGTCAGTATAACATGTGGAGGAGATGGGGACAAACAAGTCGTTTAAGGATTCAGGTGGACCTGTTGCAACAATGAGAAGTACAAAATGTCATGTCAAAACCAGCTTTACAATGTCGGGGGGGGGGGGGAGGGGGGGTATGATTGGGTGGGAGGGAGGGGGGAGGCTGGGAAGGGAGGTGAAGGGTAAACAAAGGAGGAGGCTGCAATGCTTGGTAAGAAATGTATGCATTATCCTGCCCATGTAATTGTAACCCCTCTGTACAGTATGTTCTCAAATAAAATAAAATTAAATTAAAAAAAAAAAAAAAAAAAAAAAGAGATAATAATAAAAAAAAAAAAAAAAGTAGGAGCTGGAGGAGTGCTGGGGTGAGGACTGTCTTAGGAGGGGGGAGGTGGTTAAGTGTAGCTTCACTGAAATGATGACCTCTGAGTAAGGACATTCTCATCCAGGTAGACATTTGGGTACTGGAGGGGAACAGAAGAGTACTATAGATGTGAAGGTCTTCACACAAGTGTGCCTTTGTCTTGCCATGAGCAGCTCAGAGACGGGTGAGCCTCACTGGCTACATGGGGCAGTGGAGGAGCCCTGACAGGTGGGAGCCTTGGAGATGGTTCCAAGAACTTGGCTTTTATTCTAAGTGAAATGTACCAGAGGAGGGACGAGATCTGACCGAGTACCCTCAGGGCTCCACATGGAGAACGGACCTCAAGAATGCAAAGGGTCTGCAGTTAGGAGGCTCTTAGAAGAAGATGGGTGGGGAGAGATGATGGAAATTTAAATACCCTTTCAAGGTTGTATTAGATAAGAATAAATGAAGTACAGTGCATTCACTGTGGGCCTAGGTCCCTCTCTCTCTGCACTTTTCTCCTCATATTCAAGATCTCTGTGTGTCTTCCCCTTTACTTCTCTAGCTCAAGACGAGAAGAGATGGGACATGCATCTTTACTCTGCTTGGACCTTGTGTGTGCGTGCGTGCACATGCACACACACACACACACACACACACACACACACAGTCTAGTATGGATTATTTTCACTGAAGGTTGATACTCTACTCTTGAGCCACAACTCCACTTATGACTTTTGGGTGGTTAATTGGAGATGAGTCTTACAGACTTTTTTTGTTCAGGCTGGCTTTGAACCACCACAATCCTTAGATATTAGCCCCGTGAATAGCAGAAGATAACAGGCTTGAGAAACTGGCACCTGGCTCTATCACACTTCATTTTTCACTTTGGGATCATACATGTATTTATCTAAGCAGCTCTGCAAGCTGAATGTTGTTATTTTGCTTTTTTCCCCTAATATTTATCTTAAAGGTATTTTGTATCTTTTTTTTTTATAGAGAAATACTGATTTTAATTAGACAGAATAAGGTAAACTCTAGGCATCTGTTATCTTGGTATTTTGTATCTTTAATCCACAACAAATGCATATAATAATAAACAGTGAGATAGTTTGTTTACAATATTTACCTTAGTTTTGTTGCAGAATATTTACAATTTTATGCATCATGCTGTGCACTCAAGAAATTTTTATCAAAAGAAATCTTAATCTAATATGAAAATACAAATTTCTCTTAACTAAGGTCAGATGTAGGACATACATGTAAAGCATTTACATGTATGTATAATAACTGTTCAGAGGTGTCTTCAAACACAGCAAACTTGTGGCAATTATCTCTAATCACTAAAATAAAAATCTATTGAAGTCCTATCTGTTGTCAGATCTTTGGCTACATTGCCAATGCAGTATTCCCACAGTCTGCCATCTCTCTCAGGTCTTTATTCTGGAACAACCCATTGTGGACATGTGAAAACGCGTTGAGTTGGGAGGACATAGGCCCATTTAACTTTAATGATTTCAATAAACAAAATAGTCTGTGTTTTTAGCCAAAATGTCACCCTCCAATCCATGAATAGAAAAACAAATTAAAATCTATTTTGGTGCTCAAGTCATTTCTACCTGTTTCTAGGTATCACAGTAGCTCTTTGTTTTCTCTGACTTCAGGTTCTGAACCTGACACCCAACGATGGTTTTGCTAAGGTGCATTATGGCTTCATCCTGAAGGCACAAAACAAGATCGCGGAGAGCATCCCCTACTTAAAGGTAGCTGTCCCTGCGCTTCCTCTCTTCTCCTGATTCACAGGACATGTGGACACCCTTGCTTTGGCCCTCAAGGCTTGTTGACAGGCACCGCTGCGAGGCCATCATTGGATTGTGTACCTTGCAGCAATGATGTTCCCAGGAGCCGTGGCCTAATCGTGTGTGTGAGTGCCATGAGCGCAGAGACACGTTGGCAAAGATTTTATGAAGACACTTTGAAAATTAAAGTTGTTACAGTTTGAAACAATGGCAAGAGTAGCTAGGCACTAGTAGCTCACGCCTGTAATCTTAGCTACTCAGGAGGCTGAGATCTGAGGATTGTGGTTCAAAACCAGCCCAAGCAAGAAAGTCTATGAGAATTTATCTCCAATTAACCACTAAAAAAAAAAAAAAGTTGGAAGTGGAGCTGTGGTTCAAGTTGTAGAACATTAGACTGGAACAAAAAGGCTCAGGGCAGTGCCCAGGCCCTGAGTTCAAGCCCCAGGACAAGCACATTAAAAAAAGGCAAAAGTAGACAAACATGATTGACATAATATTGTAAAATATGGGCAGTGTGTCAAACATTTATCGTACAAGTGAATTATATGTGAAATCTGCCTTGAATAGGGCTCATGGCTGCCTATGAAAAGTAGGATAACTAAGGCAGACTGGATAGGTCAAATCCCCAAATGCTGATCAGATTGTTCAAGCCAGTAAAATTAAAACATGTTAGTACTTTTTTTTCCCCCTTCTATGCCTAATTAAATCCTTATTAATTCACCAGAATTACTGGGGGGGTGGGGGGAGGTTTGCTCAGGATTTTTCAACAGAACTATCTGCCATGGCAGAAATACTTCATATCTGTATAATTTAATGTGGTAGCCATGAGTCATGTGACCCCAGAGTACCTCAAATGTGGTCATGTGACAGAGAAAGTAACTCCTAAATTTTATGCAAATTTCCAGGCAATGGTGGCTACTCAGGAGGCTGAGATTGAAAAATTCCAGTTTGAAATTAGCCTAGGAAGATAAATACATGAGACTTCTCTCCAATTAACTAATAAAAATCTGGAAGTAGACATATGGCTCAAGTGGTAGAGTGCCAGCCTTGAACCAAACAAGAGTGTGAGGCTCTAAGTTCAAGCCCTGGTTCTAGCACTAAATAAAGTATGTGTGTGTATGTATATGTGTGTGTGTGTGTTTAATTAATTTTGACTTAAATAGTAACAATATGGTGGGTAACTGAATAGCTGCGAATGCGTGTTTTTTTGGAAGCAATGTATTCTCCTTTTATGATTGTTTTCTTTTACATGACTTCAGTCAGAGATGTCCAAATAGCAACCCATTGATTGCAGATAGCGTGGGTGTTTTATTTAGATGCCACAGATCTATTAAAAACTACTCTAATCGCTTGCTTTGAGAATCTGTACATTTTGTGTAATCATGCAGATTTCTAGTTTCTCTTGAACAGTTGTATCTGGATTTCAACCCTGGGACATAAAGTTGAGTGGTGGCACCCCTCACTATGGCTGTCGCCTGGCTTCTACAAACATTCATATTCTGTCCCAGAGCCCTGCAGAAATGTGGGTTTCTCTAACTGTAAGAATTGTCCTTACATTTCTTTTGATCTAGGAAGGCCTCCTGGTGCTTTCACAGCTTCACAAACCAAACCAGGGGGCAGGAAGTAGTAGAAGGAGCTTGTAGTATTTTTACCAAACAATAATGCTTGAGTGACATCAATCAGTCAGTCATCATGCCACTTGCTACTTTCTAACATTATGCAAATAAAATTTCCTTTTGTTGAAGGATAATTTCTTTCAAGTAAAGGGACATCAAAGGTGCAGATTTGTAGAACTTTTGACACTTAAGACTTTTGTTTTTGCTCTTTTAAATTCATTTTAATGCTTTAATCCTCTCCTCTCCCCCACTTCCTTCTTCCTTCTCTTTTTCCTCTTCTTCAGGCTCATTCTCTCTCTGTCTCTGTCTCTGTCTCTGTCTCTGTCTCTCTCTCTCTCTCTCTCTCTCTGTGTCTCTCTCTCATATAAACTCCTTTTTTGGAATATAAATCTCAATCTAGTGCCTGTGTGAGAGATGGAAAAAAATCAGCTGTTTCAGAATAGGAATTGTTTAATAAGAATTACATTCCTCATGATTCCAATTGGCTTTAATCTTTCTGTAAATTTTATAAAAAGCTTCATTAAAAACTCATGACACGTGTGTTTTGAGTAGAGAAAAATATGACTCGCAGTTGGGCTGCCATCATTTCAAACATGAGCAATTAAACATTTTGATTCAGAAATAAAAAGACTCTAGATGGCATATGGTCATATTTGGAGAGCAAAATAAATGTGAAAGATGCCCAGCTAGAGAAATTATTTGAAATACTGAAATATGATTGTTCCCACATTGAAGACACATAACATAATCGTGTTGGACTTTATGATTATTCCACTATTAATGAGTGATAAATACATTGTGAATTTTAACTTCATGACCTCCTCCTCTTGCTTTTGTACTGTAAAGATGACCAGTGACCTTTTTACTGTTTTTCTGGTACTTAGATTTTTCTATAATACTTTTTCATATGCAGGAAATCTATGTAAATTAAGAAATAAAATCTACTATTTAATACCTTTAAAAATACTATCTTTTCTACAGGAAGGAATAGAATCTGGAGAACCTGGCACTGATGATGGGCGATTTTATTTCCACCTGGGGGATGCCATGCAGAGAGTCGGAAACAAAGAGGTACCGGTTTGTGACTTCCTGTTCTCTCTAACAAAGGATAGAGTCAGGATGGGACAGACATTATTTCTAGAGAAAAGTGAAAACTAAGCAAGCACATTGACCATAAACTTCTGGAGGCTGTGATTTAAGTTTATGTAGCTGTAGGTTTATGTAGGTAAATGACTCTAGGTTGATCCTATAAAAGATTTCTGGGATTTAGCTTTTATCGTTCAAGCAATCAGCTAAGTAGTTCCAAATATAGTCTTTAGTTTGTTGTATGCTGTGTGTGTGTGTGTGTGTGTGTGTGTGTGTGTGTGTGTGTTGTATGTTTTGTATGTTTGTGTATGTCTGTGAGTATAGAATATCTTTAAAATTGTGAAGAATATTAGAATATCTTTAAAACTGTGAAACAGACAGGATTATAAAATAATTTAATTTTAAAGATTATTGAACAGTTTAGATAGGTTAATTTTGTTTTGTTTTGGAATTCTTGATACAGTTATTTTTAGAATGAAGTCCATTTGATTCCTAAGCACACTAATCCTGACTGTTAATTATGTAACTGACAGTTTGAAATATTTAATGCAGAGTTTCAGTTTAACTTTCATAGACAGGTACTGACACAAAAAATGTAAGTAAAACAAGTTACATATTTTCTTTGTGATTATTACTTTTCTCCTGAGTGCAAAAGTCTGCCTCTGGAAACATGCTATCTGATTGCTAGTCATGACATCATGTACTACAAATTTTAGACCCGTTCCCATCCTCCTTTGTTTGTTTGGTTCTACTGGATGGTGAAGCTCACCTCCTTTTCCTGCACCATTGCTGGGGTTTGGGGCTGAGATGTCCTTAGAGTAAGAAGATAAAAAGTTCACATGAAACGCTGAATCTTTGAAACCATTATATTCTGTATGTGAGGTAAAGTGACATCTAAGGATGACACAGCTTCAGATTTCTTAGCTTTTTTTTTCCTTTTTCTTTTCTTTTTTGGTTGGTTGTGGGGCTTGAACTCTGGGCCTGGGAGCTGTCCCTGCGCTCTTCAGTTCAAGGCGAGCACTCTACCTCTTGAGCCACAGCACCACTTCCAAGATTTCTTAACTTTTTAAGATCATAACTCCATCTGGGGACCTGCAGGCTCCAGGAAGGAAGGGAGGTTGTGACAGAGTAATCATATGGTAGAATTGAGGAAAAAATGGGTGATAAACATTGAGATCACTGACACTATTTTCTTTATCTATTTCTATTACCATATACTGTGTTCTGCCCTCCATCAATCAGTTAAAATAGAATGAGATATTAGAAGAGAAAGAAGAGAAAAGAATTTGCTGACTAGTGATCATCATTTCATTGTTCCTTTAGATGTAAAAAGAACACCCTTTTGAATGAGAGGGATAAGAAAGATTTTGCTGGATGAATGTTCATGTCTTGACTACTGTAAATATAATTTGCACTAATTAATTTATCTTTGAATATGTCAGCATACAGAGCAAAGGCAGATAAAAGCAGTCTATGATCTATCTCATATCATAGATGAAAACAGGCTTTATTTCAAGGACAAAGAATTCACTATTAAACACTTGTTAGGGACTATGTCTTTGAACCTAGAGGATTATTCTAGCAGCTTAAGTATCATTAATATGCAAAGAACAGCAGAGTTGAATTTTGAAAGTTCACAAGGACTGAAGCAGCCTATAGAAGCACCATTTTATAAAGGAGGAAGATGAACCATGATAACTTGTGAAAATTCAGCTTTGGCAGTTTCCATAATGTCCAGATCCACATTCTAGTTTCTTATCTAGTTTTGTTCTCCAAGTCGAGATTCTCATATGGACTACCAGCTTAGTGACACTGTGCAATGTCACAGGGACAATTCAGTCATGGTTCTCTAAGCTCTTTGCTGCTAGGTTCCGTCTTCATGTCAACTTACCTGGTTCAAGATTCAAGTCAACAGCAGCTGCTTCCTTGCCTTATGCCCTATAGCCTGTGTTTTTGGCTCTTTGGCAGGCACCTCCTTCTGCTCCTGCTCAAAGGGGCTTTATTCTAGCCCAAGACATCCCTCCTATCTCACAGCAGTTCTCTATGCTGTTTGGGTTTTCTTTCAATTGCTTCCCCCATTCCCACTCCCATGATTCTATCAATATGCTGGTCTTAAAAATGAATTGCTGATGACACAAAAATTAGTGGGCCATCTGATTTTTCCAAAACTTGTTCGTTATAATTAAGACCAACAGGTTTAGGAAATAAAGTCTAAGTTCAAATTGAACAAAATTACAGTAGTCAAATTAACTTCAAAGGTGAATGCTACATTTTCTAAATTTAAAAAATAAAGTCAGGCACTAGTGGCTCACATCTGTAATCCTAGCTACTCAGGAGGCTGAGATCTAAGAATCACAGTTCAAAGCTGGGCAGGAAAGTCTGTGAGACTCTTACCTTCAATAAACCGCCAGACATCCTGATGTGGTACTGTGGCTCAAGTGGTAGAGCCCTAGCCTTGAGCTGAAGAGCTGGGGGACAGCGCTCAGGCCCAGAGTTCAAGCCCCACGACCAACACAAAATACATACATACGTACATACATACGTACATACATACACACACATATATATATTCATACATACATACACACATACATACATAAATAGCCATTTTTGCATGTGCATGTATGTATGTGTATATGTATGTGTGTGGGTACTGCATGTATATATGCCAGTCCTGGGGCTTGAACTCAGGGTATGGGCTCTGTTTCTGAGCTATTTTTGCTCAAGGCTAGCATTTGAGCCATAGTTCTACTTCTACATTTTTTGGCAGTCTCATAGCTTCAAACCAAGATTCTCAGGCCTCAGTCTCATTGTTTTTTAAGATACAAAAGTAGGAAAGAGTTGAGCTAGTTACTGGGGGCCCTGGCTTCTAGTTCAGAAATTTTAAGTAAACCTCAGTTTTGACATTTGTAAGATGGAAGGTTGGGGCTGTTAGATCAAATGAGATCAGACATGTCAGGCTAGCAGTAGACTAGTGTCACGGAAACACCAGGTGACACTGTGATTGTCCTTCACATATGATAGTTTTCATATAGTTTACAAATAAATGCTGAAAACATGCTAAAAGTTAAAAGGTTTTACCTCTACAGTATTTCTAGAGTTTTATAAGGAAGATATTTGAATTGATATAAAATACTATTGACCAAAACATCTTTTTTAAATGGACATGGTGACATTAGCCTATGATACCTACACTTGAGAGACTGAGGCAGGAGGATTGAGAGTTAAAGGTGAGCCTAGGCGATATTGTGAGATCCTGTCTCAAAAAAACAGAACCAAACCAAACCAAAAGAAGCCAATCACTCTTCAAAAGCAATTACTAGACTGTGCTAATGAAGAGGATAATAGTTGGAGTCCCACATACAAAACTGCCCATGCAGAAGACAAAGGGTGTGCACACAGGGTGAGTAGCATGTGGTAGGGTCCCCTGGGAGGATATGGCTGGGGTCCTTGGATAAGCCAGATGGAGCAGCTACCCTGCCGCGAGCTGTCCCTGAATGGGCTGGCCTTCAAGGAGGCCAGGTGTAGTATGTTACAGCCAGACTGAGGGCACAAATGCCATCTCTCATGGCAAGAAAAATAAATAAGTTAAATAAATAAACACAACATTAGAAACAAAAGTTCCTTTTTAAACATTTAGCATGGGCTGTCACTATTCTTATTATCAACTCAGAACAATATGTCCTTTCTTGCTACTTAATTTAGTGGAGTGTTTATATTGTCACCCTGGAGTAAGCCTCCATAAATGTGAACATGGAAGGAAAGTACACATGGGGAGGTGTGATGCCGGATTTTAGCATTCTGATTCAGTAAATGCAAATGTTCTTGAAGAAATTATGAAAACCACAACCCATTCATCTTAAAAGGAGACATAAAAATAGATATTACAAAATGGAAGCTGGAATGTAAATATTGTCTCCTTTGGTGCCTGACGTTATTTATCTATTCAGTGAATAAGTTCTAGACTATGTTAGACATTTGGGGAACAGCAAAACAAATGGGGCCTGCAGCCTGTAGCTACAGTGCCTGCAGCTGTAGAGTGAAAATGAAATGCAAATGTGCATGTATACCAACAGGTTACAATCGGAGACCCAATAAAATAGCTATCTTTATTCACTAGATTTCACTCGATTGGGGTACTTCACAGGCAAGCTCTTTATTTAAATATCTCAAAGTACAATCAGTCTCTGACTCAGTATCTTTAAGCTTTTACTTCTCCCAGTCAGTGAGATGCCCTTCTTCCCTCCTTTTTTGGGCTTAAGTCTCATGATTGTCATCACGTTTATCATTTTAGACCTAGATCTCACATTAAAATGAAAATATGCAATATTTATCATTTTAAGTTTTTATTCATTTATGATCATGTAAAGGCCATACACATTCACCAGAAGCCACACTTCAAATACTGAGCTTGGTCTTTTTCCCTGCTAGTCATAGGCAGTGTGGTGCTTACTCTCTTGTAGGATCTGAGAGTGGCCTCCAGCCACAGCTCCCAGTTGGCCACTGGGTCACGTGGGAAATGATGTTTTGCTGTGTACCCTGTGTTCTGTGGGTTCAGTGGATCAAATGCCTTTTGTTTTAATTTTAAAAATAATAACACCCCAAGATAAGGACTCAAATGTTTTTTCTTTCTTGCTATTGTTTCTAACATATTTATAAGATGATTTCTTTGTTGCTTTGATGTCCCTCCCCCACGGTATAACCTCTGTTTTTACTGTATTTGATGTTGGTATAATTTGGGGAGGGGAAGGAAAAAAAACAAATTGTTTAAATAGGGATACAGATGGACCCATTGCAACAATGAGATGTACAAGACGTCGTGTTGAAAAACAATCTTTACAACTTTGGTGGGGTGGGGGGGCCGGGAAGAGATGGGAAAGGGAAACAAAGGTCGAGGCAGCAATTCTTGATAAGAGACGTACCATTACTTTGCTCATGTAATTGTAACCCCTCTGTACAGTATTTTCACAATTAAAAATAATAATAACAATGTTTCATTGAAAGAGTAGTGCGGAACATAATCTTTCTGTTCTTTCAGGCATATAAGTGGTATGAGCTTGGGCATAAGAGGGGACATTTTGCTTCTGTCTGGCAACGTTCTCTCTACAATGTGAATGGACTGAAAGCTCAGCCGTGGTGGACCCCCAAAGAAACGGGATACACTGAATTAGTAAAGGTGAGTGCCAAGCACACAACCACAGTGGTTTCAGGGTTTCCATTGACTAAACTATCATTTAAATGATGGAGGGAATTTGTCTGGAATTGGCTTCTCAAACCCTTCACCTTAGGATACTCTTACACGCTTCAACAAGATCCATCGCCCAAGGAAGTTTGTGTGTGTGTGTGTGTGTTTGGTTTATATTTATCCATATCATGCTTAGAAAAGAAAATTTCATTTTTTTCTTTTTCTCAAATATTCTTTTTTATTTTAAAAATTATACTGTGTATTTTTATTAGTTTCTAAACTTTTAAACTTTTTTGTATATGTTTTATTGTAAAGATATTGTACAGAGGAGTTACAGTTACATGAGTAAGATAATGAGTCCATTTCCATTCAAGCATTGTTACCCCCTCCTTCGTTTTTCCCCTGCCATCCCTTTCCTCTCCAACTCCCCAACTCCTTCCTACTCCCCTCCAAAGTTGTAAAGTTCATTTTCAACAGTGTCTTGTACATCTCATTGTTACAATGGGTCAACATGTATCCTTATTTGAGCATTTTGTTATTTCCCTTCCCCTCCCCAAATTAGAAAAATGTATATACAAGATGCAGGGCACCAGAATCAAATACAGTGAAAACAGGGGTTATACCATGGGGGAAGAACATACAAAAGAAACAAAAAAAGTCACTTAGTACATTAAAAACAACAGCAAGAAAGATAAAACCTTGTGTCCCTATCTTGGGGTTCATTTTGCTTAGCATCATCTTATGAATGGATCAAGAAAATGTGGTAGGTAGATAGATAGATAGATAGATAGATAGATAGATAGATAGATAGATAGATAGATAGATATGTGTGTGTATGTATGTATGTATGTATGTATATATATACATATATATATATATATATATATATATAATGGAATTTTATGCCTCCATTAGAAAGAATGACACTGCCCCATTTGTTAAGAAATGGAAAGAGTTGGAAAAAATTATATTAAGTGAAGTAAGCCAGGCCCAAAGAAACATAGGTCCCATGGTTTCCCTTATCTGCAATAACTACTGTATGTCTAAGACAAGCAGAAAAGGTCAAAAGCTATGAAAATTTTATTTTTATATATGATTTGTTTAAAAATAAGTAACAATATTACATGTTAATATAAATAAATTCAAAATTATAATGGGAAGATTGAAATGTTATATAATTTTACAATTTTTTAAATCTACTTTTGGGGAGCATTCTAGAATTTGAGCTCAGAGCCTTGTGCTTCCTAGGTTTAGTGCTTTACTGTTTGAGCCACCAATCTAGCTTCTTACTTTTGAATGAGGTGTGATTCTCCTACTCAGGCTTTTCAGGGAGTTGGAATGATAGGTGTATACCACCACATCCAACTTTTTATTGGTTAAGGTGGATTTTGTGAACTTTTGCCTAAGCTAGGCTTGAATTGTGATCCTCCTGATCTCTAGCTTCTGAATAGCAGGGATTATAGGTGTCAGCCACCAGCACCCAGCTACAAGTTTTTTTAATAATCTGTTGTCATAGAAGACAGGAGAATTTTCTTGACTGCATCATAGATGCACCCATTAGAATAGTGACACTATACATCATGCAGACTCTGGAACATTCCACTGTGGGTATGAAAAGAGCAAAGACCTCCTTCACGTTCTAAGAAAGCAGTTTTGGGTATTCCAAACTCCCTTAAAGATTGAGGGAAGCTCCCCCCACCCCACCCCCATGGCCTAGGGCCACATTTTGAGAACTGCTGCTTCCCTTGATACAGGAAGAGAAATATTTATATCTATAAATATTTTTATATGGTAGCTGATGTGTAAATAAAGAAATTAAGTGACTTTAGTAACATAAAAATTAAAAAGTTTTATTTTGATATATTAAATCTGACTTCTAATACTGTGGTTTTGCTAGGAGTATGGTATGGTCATATATTTACTTTTACTGTCATAAGCCCATTCTTAGACACACGTAAAATGCTATAAATCTTACAGGTTAGGTGAGCTTCTGTGTTCTGCCCTGGGAAGTCTGTCATGTAATGTGTGGTTTGTAGAAAATAATGGATTCTGGTTTTCCAAAGATTGATTTTACATGTATATGAGAGAAGCAGGCGGGGGAGGACAGGAATGACAACCTGTGATATTCTACAGTCTGCGTGATAGATGTGTGGGGACTTGTTACATTGTTCGTTCTATCTTTCAGCGTATTCTCGATTTTTTCCCAGAACCTTTTGGCAAATGAAATCTGTCCTTAAGACTTTCAAGACTTCACAGGTTAATTTGATCTAGTTGGATGAAAGAGAAATTTCAATGTGGTATCAGTGCTCTGACATTAGCATAGGTTTTCTTAAGACCTTGCTTATTTTATTATAAAAGCATATTTGATGGTAATCTTAATGTATTTTACAAAGACCACCACTGTGACTCAAAGGAGTTTATAGATGAGAAAGTTATATTATGGAGATGATGCATTAATTAATTTTAGATTAATTTCAGCCGCCTCTGTATCCAATAGTAGCAGACGCATCCTATACTTGACCATACTGGAAATGGTACAGTAACATCTTCCTTGATCAATTACATTTACACTTAGTGCTCTCAATGATGTTTTTCTTATGAAATGCCCGTCTTCCTTACAGTGGTCCACTGAGCTCTTTTGATTCTCTGTCCCTTCCTTTTTTTTTTTTCTTTTTTAAAGAAAATTTATTGTCATTGTCAAGGTGATGTACAGAGGGGTCACAGTTACATACATACATATATGTCCCTCGTTTTTCTCCCATTTTCCCACATCCCCCTCCCACATTACCCCCCACCACCAGTTGTAAAGTTCTTTTCCTGGTCAACTTTTAGTTTATTTTTTGATATAGTTTTTAGGCTGCTTTCAATTTCAAATGATAGAAATGAAATTCAAATCTGGCTTCAACATGAACTTGTTTGATTCACGTTACTGGAAGCCAGCAGTAGAACAGGCTTTGGGAGCAGCATAGTAAGGGAATGATTTTCGTGGCCCCACACTTCCTCTTTGCTCAGCTGTCTCTTTATGCAAACCTTATTGCAAGATAGCTCCCAGTAACTATGGGACTGGAGAGTTAGAAACAGTGTTGAGCTACCATATCAGCCTTAAATGGCCTTCTACTACAACTTTGTGGGGAGGGGAGTGGGAAAAGATAATATGGAGAAAATGAGGGAGGGGAAGAGGGAGGAGTTGGGGAGGTAGGCAGGAAAGGGATGGTAGGGGAAAAACAAAGGAGAGGGTAACAATGCTTCATAGGAAATGTACTCATTACCTTACTTATATAACTGTAACCCTCCTGGTCATCACCGTTATAATAAATATGCAAAAATAAAATAAAATACACAGTTGATTTCTTTTTAATGGTTTTTTGTAAATCCCCGATGTACAGAAGTCAAAGCACATTTGTTAAAAGTTTTTTTTGTTGTTGTTTTGTTTTTTGTCGGTCGTGGGGCTTGAACTCTGGGCCTGGGCGCTGTCCCTCAGCTCTTCAGCTCAAGGCGAGCGCTCTACCACTTGAACTACAGCGCCACTTCCGGTTTTCTGATGGTTTATTGGAGATAGGAGTCTCACGGTCTCTCCTGCCCGGGCTGGCTTTGAACCGCGATCCTCAGATCTCAGCCTCCTGAGTAGCTAGGATTACAGGCGTGAGCCACCAGCGCCTGGCTTGTTAAAAGTTTTTAAATGGCCTTCTACAAACTTCCTAGGAGATGTTTTCATTTTTGCGATAGGCTGTCACAGTTACAGAGAGCCTGAGACACCAAGTAGTTGACAGCAGTCTTCCAGAAAGAGAAAAAGTGTCCCATCCCATCCACCTCGGAATGGGAGCCAATTTAAGCCACATTTCCACTCTGCATCAGTTATTGGCAAGGGGTTATGAGATGATCTTCAAGCTAACAAATCTTCCCCTGGGAGTCAGTAAAAGGTCAGCTTCCTTTGAACTGAATACCTGATCTGGAAGGAGTTGGACACCTAAACAAACTCAGGGTTCTGTTGTACAGGGAGTCTACAGTGTCTAGGTCCCTTACTGTGTGTTCATGTAAACTTGGACTCCAATAAATTTTATCTACTTTATGTTTTCCCTTTTTTGTTCATCTTATAAGGAAATTGGTCCAGTGTGCTACCACTGCTGAGAGAAGTTTTACTAAAGCTCTGCTACCCAAATTCACACTCTTTGTGTTTTATCTCGTTATATAGAAACATTAACATTCACTGTGAACCTTTATTGACCTTGTAAAATCCTGATTAATACTCTTTTCCAGCTTTACAGTTTGACCAGTGTCTTAGTCCATTTTAGGTGCTATAACAAAATGACACAAACTGATTAGCTTATGAGCAACAGAAAAAATACCTATATAAACAAATGTATAATATATGTATATGTATATATATATATTTCTTAGATTCTGAAGTCTGGGAGTCCCAGCTCAGGCTGCCAGGAGATTCAGTGTCTGGTGAGGGTTTCTTCCTCACCAGATGAGGCTTATTCATTGGCTCTGCATAGTGGAAGAGGAAAGGCAGCTCTCTACATACTATTGAAATTAGACTAACATTAAACTCAACTAGATTGTTTTGATTAAAGTCCTAATGCCCACTTGGATAGCCACAACTTCAAAAAAAAAAAAAAAAGACAAGCATTAGCAAGTGTTGTATGCATTTGGAGACACTGAAACCTTCACACATTTCTGGGGGCTATGTACAGCCACTTTGGAAAACAGTATAGCATTTACTCAAATAAGTAAACATAAAATTACTGCATGACCCTCCAAGAGTATATATCCAGAAGAAGTGGAAACATATGTTCACACAAAACTGGGCATATAAATATTCACAATACCATTATTCATAACAGCAGAAATGCAGAAAGCCATGTAAAATATATCCATCCCAATAATAAATAAGTAAATACACAAAAAAGTAGTAGATCCACATGATGACACTTAATAGAATGAAGTATTGATACCTGGTACAGCATGAATGCATCTGAAACACATAA